ATGTGGCCACACACCCACATGCCCCCCCCCCCCGTATTTCTACATACAGGTAGCCCCCAGTTTAAGAACAAGTTCCGTTCCCAAGGTCTGTCCTTAAGCTGAATTTGTATGTAAGCTGGAACAGTATTATAAGTAATAAGTAGTATTGTATAAGTAGTATTGTGTAATTAACTTGAATATTGTGTATTTAACTTGGATTATTGTGTATTTAGCTCACATTTTGCTACAAAAGGCTCCTTTCTTAGCTATGGGTCATCCTTAAACCGGGCATTCTTAACCCAGGGACTAGCTGTAGACCATTTTACTCATCTGGTACCAAGTCTTTTTTCAAAATATTGCTGAAGGTTGTGGGCTGTGTTATTTTATTTCTTGACCCCGTACACTTATGTGTGTGTGTTTTAGGATAATCTTGAGCAGGTTGATTCACTGAGGCTTATTCCCAAGCAAGCGTTTATGGCTCTACACCCCACAAAGGTATTTTCTTTTTGAATAAAACGCAGATGGGCTGAGAATACAACTCCAAGTTGCTGCATGGTGAATTCTGTTAAGTGCAGTCCCAACCCGTCTGTAGAGCATCAGGTTGGGGAAAGGTGATGTGATACAGTCAGATATCTTTCAGGACTCTCAGCCCAAACATGTGAAAAGATACCCCACAGAGTAAGTAAATAACTTTACTGTTTGCAACCAGCCAACTCCAGCTGAGCAAAATTGGGTAGATTTCTGTATTGCTTAACTTAAGCTGAGTTGCTTAGCATCAAAGAAAAGGAAGCTCGTGTTTCCTAAAAATCCATTTTTTCTTCACCTAGTTGAACTTTTGCGACAGTGACGGTTAACTGCCATAACTCCTCCAGTAAACTTTAGCGTGAGAAGCAGCGTGGCTTCTGCTACGGAATTACCCTGTATTGATGGGCAAAAGCTCTGAGTCTGATAAGGCCGTGGGTGTGGGTCTGGTACTACAACTTTCATTAAGAAAAATGTGGCAATGTGCTGCTAAGTTGCATCAGGAAATGCCCTGAGCTTTGCAGCTGGATTTCACCTGCAGTTCAGGACAGGGATAAAAGCAGGAAACAGATGTCTTCTTTCTTCCCCCCCCCCTTCCCTTGGCTGTGCTGTGTGAGTGCGTGATGAATCCAGTGGTGTGAATTTCAACTCTGGCTTCAAGAATTCTTTTATCGTACCACCTAATTCTAATTCTGGAGAAGCTGTTAAAGCACGTTGTTACTGGGTTGTCTTTTGCAACAGGGTGAATTCCCTATACCAGTGTGTTTCAACCTTGGCAACTTTAAGATGTGTGGACTTCGACTTCCAGAATTGGAGTCCACATGAAGCTGGCTGGGGAATTCTGGGAGTTGAAGTCCACATGTCTTAAAGTTGCCAAGGTTGAAAAACACTGCCCTACACATTAGCCACATTAGTCACTGTGCTACAAGACACATGGATGTGCCTGAAGCAGTTGTGCCCTCCATATAAAAACAGGTTACATGACTTTGGTGTGGTTGAATTCTGCATTCACAATGCTTTCCTTGGAATCCTATCTGGATTCTTCCTGCTGTTGATTCAAACTGGGGACATATTTCCAAGGGTTGGGCTCAGCTGCAAAGGTTTAGGACTCTTTGGCATGTTTTAATGACATGACCCCAGATACCTCTTGGAGTTTGTTCCTGATTTGGGGGGGGCAGTAATTCTGTGCTCTGCCCTCCCTTCTCAATTTGGAGAAGCAGGTGGCATATTAAATGTGCAGTCTTGCTTGGAGGTCAGAGTCCCTTTCTATCCTCACTGCAGTTTCTCCTGTTAACAGGAAGAGCCTGTTTCTCTCTTCTCGTATCACATTAAAAAGGAAGCTTGTTCAGCTGGGTAGTGAACCTGCTGGAACCCTGTTTGCAAGGTGGATTAAGCCTGTGGAACTCCTTTTGTGGTGAGAGGGGCATATTGGCGAACAAGTGAGGGTTCTGCTTTGTTGTTGAAATTGTTGGCACCATTACAGTCTTTTCAGGGTGACCAGCTGAACAGGAAGTGAGAGAGCCCTGGAGTGCCACCACGAACTTGGGGCAGCAGCGTGAGTAGAAAAAGTGATTTTGTGCATCAACTGTACTGTTGAGCATGTGCTGAGGGTCTTTTTTTCACCGCCGAGTGGCTGAAGTCTTGTCCCCCTATGAGCTAAGTCATGCTTGGTTGGTTTGGGATCAAGTGTATTGTGTGAACCCTCCTAATTGTGGTGTATGGTTAGCCTTGCGAGGTAGTCTTAAACAAACAGCATACCCAGATGTACTAGCTCTAATGTTATTGTATGGTTACGTTAATGGAATCTTGCAAGTCTGAAAGCCCATCTCTCCCCACCACCACCATCTTTACAGTCCAAGAAACAAGGAAGCTTCTGAGATGTTTACCATGTCCCCATTGCATCTTTGGGCTCACCTGCCTCTTATCGGACTGTTGTCTGTGGCTCTTCTGTCTGTCTCCCAAGGTCATTCCCACATACCATTACATTAATAAACTATTATGGAACAACCCATGCTTTGCACTGTACAAACCAGATTGCTGCATTAGGTAAAAGAATTTCGTGTTAGTTGTCACAGGCAAGTCTGAAAAAACTGAATGATGATAGAGCATGAGATTTGGTGTTGGCATAACCCCGGAATTAGCTTAACTGACTTCCTGGCCCTTTGTTGAGATTTTGAAATTTTGCTCCCATTTTTGATTCCCTCCCAGGCCAGCATAATTTTAACCATGACTGGTTTGAAACCAGCTAACTCTAGATTATGGGTAGAAGATGGGCTTATTCTGGAAAACCATTGGGAGGATTAATCACACTTTAGGGGTCAGATGATGCAGTAACTGGTAAATCCAGAATGGAGAATAAAATTGTATGTAGCTGCGCAAATGAAATTGTATGTAGCTGTGCAAAAGAAGAAAGGTAGACCAAAGTGTGTAAGAGTGTGGGGTGGCTAGGAGTTTTGCTCTCACAATAAATCCCCTCCTGTTTTAATAAAATAATTATGTTATTATTTTAATTATTAATAATAATAATTTATTAATAAAATTATTAATAAAATAAATACATAAAAACAACTATGTATAAAAAACAGTAAAAACATGTCCCCTCCTGTTTTGTGTATTGTTACTGTTTTTTATATGTAGTTGTTTCTATGTGTTTATTTTTTTAAATTGTTGTACGCTGCCCAGTCACCTTGTGTGAGACAGGCGACTATATAAATACGATCGATAGATAGATAGATCGATCAGTGTGCCATCTAATTCTAGCCAAGTATATGTCCTAAAGGGAGGTGAAATAGGTAAATGAACCAGAATACTGTAAACAACGTTTGCAAAATTGGGCAACTTTCAAAGATTGATAGTATTCGCTTTCTCCCCTACTAACAAATTTAAATGGTTTTCTTGAAAACTAAATCCTTTGCTTTGAGGGAGCATTGCCAAATGGCTCACAAAACAACATAAACCATTTTAAGCATACCCTTTAATTTTTCCAATATGG